TTTGCGTTTGATGAAGGTTTCGGTGGTGCCGGTGGTTGCTTTCCCGTGGACTTACTGCGGCCAAGACGGTCCACAGCACGCTTTACAATGCTCTTCGACCCAGCTAGGTCCTCGACCCTTTCCTCCACCATGGAAGCCTCTGGAGTGCTCATCTTTGCCCACCGTTGAAGTTATCCACGATATACGGGGCGCAAGGAGGCAGGGCGTATCTGAAACGACTGCGGACAAGGTGGTAGTAGTTGCAAAGCCAGAGGGAAGCTCGGGGTGATTGGGCGAGGTGTCCGCGTATGGCGGTCGCGGCGTGCGAAGTATTTTGGCTCTGATGACCGTGGGAAAGATAAATAATCGTGACCATGTTGCAAACGCGTTCTCTTGGCCCGGGCTGTCCATGCTTCATGCTCGCTGCGGCTTCTCCAAACGATTTCTGCACTTGCTTTCCTACTCTCAACTGACCCTCTAATTGCGATACCATGCGAGGAGAAATATGCGTCGGTCTTGGGTCCTTCTTCTCGTAAGGATCCATTCACCTCCAATGGATCCGCGTGTTGATTGAGTTCCAAGGCTAGCAGCCTTGTTCCTGTTAATATTCATGCAGGTAAGTGTTTGGTAGCCTTCTGGTGATATGCTTCGGGGAATCTTATCTTGAACCCTTCAGCTTGGACAAATTAATACGTCCTCGCTCCCTCGAAGTATCGCGATGGTGATTGGTCCTTCAGTTTCAGTTACGGCCGTCGGATTAACCGAGTAACTCTACTTAGGTGAAGATCAACGTGTCGACATATGGGTGAGCGCCCACCCCGATTACACATGATACTTGCCTTACCGTTCCTAGCGAGGCTTTGGCGCAAGCGTTTGGAGACCCCATCCAAGGGCTGTACACATCCAACGCATCACTGCCCCTCGAGGCACAGGATGGGCTGCGGCAATTGTACGAGTGGGGCATGTACTCCCACTGTGCATATGTTGTACCCCATGAAGGAATATGTTCCAACTCCTCTGCCGGATACCGATTCACACCGTACGATGCGATCACAAACGACATGGCAGCCAATTACTCCGCCTTCACTAATGCCATCATCCCCGGCGATGCTACATTCCGAGACTCGGGTACATTGGGCAGCTTATCGAACTCCGCGTACTACTTGCTGCTAATTGGGACGATAACAACGGCACTGGCATTCGTTCTGTACGTTGGTTCTGCTTAATACCTTGATCATGTACTCAATTCTTTCCAATCGCAGTGGGCTGACGAGGCACACCGTCACCTTCCTTGCCGCTACTGTCTTCTCCCTCCTAAGCACTATTCTGGTTCTAGTTGGCGCCGCGATCTGGACTTCGATCGTGAAGAAAACTGAGAGTATCAATGCGTTCGTCGTCGGAACCCCACCTAGTTCGATACCCCTCGGATTTGCGGTGACCATGGGGACCGGCATCTACCTGGCTTGGATAGCTTGGGCTTGTCTTGTCCTCGCTTTCATCCCATACATGCTTGTGTAAGTGACTATTTCCCATTTTTCACCCATCTTCACAACTCATCGTGGTTCAGGTCCTGCACATACCGTGGATGAGTCATGTCGGCGATGCTGGTTTCATCGTATACTGAAAATACCGAATACTGTTCATACCTGTTATATCCGGAACGACCATACGATTCAACGAAAACTGCAGCGACAGTCATGGACATTACGATTACTTGACGAGGAGCTGATAGATGTAACATATATTGATGCTCTATGTATTCAACTATTTTTTGGATTATTCTATACGATGTCGGTGGTGATCAGCAGCGGAGGTAGCCCTCCGATCGCGACCCGACGTCAGAATTGTCTCCCGACGCGTCTGGCTCCAGCACACCAACTCTTGCACATTCGTTCACCCTTTCCACATGTTGCCTCGTTCTTCACGGCTCGTCCACCCACCTCGAATCCCTCGGTTCACACAAATCCACCCTCGCTCCCTAAGTACGCAAAGTCCGAGGCAGAAATCTCCAAAAGAGCCAGCAAAAACTTCACCACTTGCGACAATTCCTCGACAGCAGTCATGGCTCACAAAAACAGTCAAGGGATCGCCCCTTGCGATGTCAGTCTTCTTGCAATTCATTAGGCTACTCGGATACGATAGTCCGAAGCAGTCCGCTGCGAGGCGGGCCAACGTCCTCTACCAACGCTTGTGCACGGTCCGAGCGGATGAGGAGCGCGATTTCTGGCAACACGGTGCGTGAATCTCGCTCAATCATTAGCTTGTTCTCCGCGTTGGTTGTCACTTGGTCCATGCCATGTTCCCCCTCTGCCCTCAGAACTTTACTCACTTTTTTCTCGATTCAGAATGTGACCTGCCCCCTACCTTCCAGTCGTGGTTCACCGTCACCAATCTACACGTTTGGCTTCTCACCGTCCGATTTCGTGCCCTCCCACCTTCACATGGACAGTACTATGTCCAAGGGCTCATCGATCACTTCTTCCTTGACGTCGAGGACCGTATGCGAGCATTACTACAACCTGTATCATACGCAGCCTCAGGTCGCACCCCACCGTCATCGACATTCTATCACATTCCAGCCGACCAGGTCGCAGAAGTTCCCGACGGAGGTGACCTCAAGACGGGAAAAAGGCCCAAAGGAAATGCGCCGGAGACATTGATCACGAGGCAGATGAAAATCTTCAGGGAACAGTGGGCAGGAATGGGGATGGCTTTAGACCTTGGCCTGGCAAAGGGTGATACGGAGCTAGCAGGTGCTATTTGGAGGAATCTTTTGGGTGCTAGGGGCGCAAACGGGATTATGCTGCCCACCCCGTCCGAGGGAGCTGAGAACCCTGTTTTCCGGCGTTCGATCAACATCACTGACAGCAAGGCCAAATCATTCAAATCCGAGACCGAGCTTCGAGCAGCTGAGTCCCAGGATGATTTATCGGGAGTCCACGACTACTTCCCGGAAGAGGCGGACAAGTACCTCGCGTATCCCGAATTGATGGAGACGTTGGTTGTGTATATTAGGAGGGAGTTGGTCAGGCTGGAGAAGATAGGCGATGACAAAGTGATGTCTGCGCATAAACCTGGAATGGAGTATGAGCATCTTGGCAAGCTCAAATTCGGGCGAGTGCGCCAGTGACGAAAAGTTTATTATTATGATACTTGATACGTCTAGATCTGTCGCTTGGCTCTTGGGCGAGAATTAATCCCCACTTGACACTCTCGGACACTCGTTCCATCTATCCCCTGCAGCTATGCAATACAGCGACAGTCTGTGTTCTGCAGGGTAAGCTGGTACTCACTAACCCTGGTGCTCGGCCGAAAGCGCGACGCGTCCCGATCACGTGAATGCATCTAGGCTACCCCAAAACGGACTTCAGTCCAAAATTTGAAGCAATCCTCGGAAGCTCTGCGCTCAATCCGCTGTTGCTCAGACTCTTTGCCTCCTCCCCCTTGCCCATAAAAACGACTGGTTTCCGTTTACCCCTTCTCATCAGATAGCCAGGATGTCCCCTCCTATGTCAGGCAAAGGCAAAGAGTCTGGTACAGCCCGCGTACTGGGGTCTGGCACTTCAGGTTCGTAGCGCAACTGGCATGCCAACAACTGGAGTACTAATGAACATTTACAGGTATCGCCGAACTCCTGATTTTCCACCCAGTGGACACGATCGCGAAACGATTGATGAGTAACAAGGCCAAGGTTTGTCTCCACTTCGTCGTGAACGGAAGGCCCATATATCAACTTTGATGCTAGTTGGGATCTGCGTCTCTCTCGACCGTCATCTTTCGTGACCAGGCCACTGCGACCCTGGGCCGTCGCATGATGTCCCTCTTCCCTGGTCTGGGATACGCAGCGGGCTACAAAGTTGCTCAGCGTGTCTACAAATTCGGTGGTCAACCCTGGTTTAACGACTTGATTACGCGGCATTACAAGACCGAGTTCACCAATACATTTGGAGAACGCAAGGGGAAGATGATGATGCAGGCAACTGCTGGAAGGTATGTCGAAAGAGCCCTTAAATATCGATCTGGATACTCAAATTTTGTTATCAGCTTGACTGGCATTGGTGAAGTTGTAAGTTGGACACATTCGCTTGTGATTTTCGCAAACTAACCATTGTTCTAGGTGCTCCTTCCCTTAGACGCGCTCAAGATTAAGCGACAGGTCAACCCTGAGGCCTTCCGTGGACGTGGTGCTATCCGGATATTCATGGAGGAGGGCACGACCCTGTATCGTGGTTGGGGATGGACCATGGCGAGGAATGCGCCAGGTAGTTTCTCTGTAAGCACTCCCCCTTGGAACCTTGTCTTGTCCTTTCAGCGCTGACGCCAACTTTCCTAGCTATTCGGTGCTTCGGCGGTAACAAAAGAATACGTCTTGGGTGTGACCGACTACTCGAAGGCCACCTGGACGCAAAACTTCATCGCTTCTGTCGCTGGTGCGGTCGCCTCCATCACGGTCGCAGCACCACTCGATACAGTGAAGACTCGGATCCAAAATGCCAACTTTGAGAATAAAGTTAGCGGGGTTACAGTCATCAAAGATTTGTTGAAGAATGAGGGTCCGCTGGCGCTGTTCAAAGGGCTGACACCCAAGGTATGGACTATATTCCTTGACTTGTCTCTGTCTGACGCTGAACCCTTTGTAGATTTTGGTCGTCGGGCCCAAACTCGTCTTCAGCTACACCCTGGCACAATCGCTGATACCATTGTTTGCCAACTATGTTTAGAATAATCTATAGATAGATATATGGATGGTTGCTCTAATCTAATACGCTCCCGCGATTCCCCACTCTCACAATCTACTTGAGTACGACTGGGCCATGACATGATCTTGAAATTGATGAGACGACTTGGTTCTGTCCTCGACATTCTATGAAATGCCGAAATCGCTGCGCTTCCGTGGGTCTGGGGAGAGGAACTCTCCATCGCTTTCACCGGTTCTTCAACGTTAATTCATAGAAACTGGGAAATATTGGAGAATTATGCGATAACAAAATCATTGTTCCTTCACCACAAAAAGTGTTTCTAGCCCACCGCGAGGGTCGAACTCGCAGCCTTCAGATCGCCGTAGAAGCCTAGGTAAGAGTCTGACGCTCTATCCGATTGAGCTAGGCGGGCGATGTAAATTGTACCCCGGGTGTCTATAAGTGCAGTGAGCGTGTGGAGAGAGTCATACCACGACACCAGACGGAGGGTGGAGACCATCGCCTGCGGGGAGGCGATTGGAACGTTCAGAGGCGGTGAACAATGTGATGTCACTGGAAGTCGGTGTAACGTGGATCAGAAGAGGAGGCGGCTGGGATGTACGTGTAAATCCGCAGTTGCCTCAGCTCCCATGAGTCAATCCTCAAACCGTCAACGCGTCGGCAATGATCAAAAAATAAGGAATGGAGTGAGAGAGAATAATGGCAAACACATGCATATCTACCTCCGCGGACGGTGGGACAAACAGAAACGGCGTGGAAGCAGGAGGCGGTGAATCTAAACAGGGATTCAGCCCCCATGATGTCGACAAACAAAGGGCAGGCAATCGGGAAACGACGAGACAAATCCGGCTTAGGCAAGCCACCGTTGAGAATGCTACTGTATGTAGAGCAAGGAAGTCGGCGACAGTCGACTGGAGCATTGCCCTGGCGCAACAGCTGTCAGGGGTCGCGAAAGCTTCAAATCGAGAACTCGGGGCTACTTGTGTTTCATACCCGACAAAACGCCACATTCCGAGCTGCCAAGAGATGACAGGGATCGAGCCAAGAACCAGTCCAGGCGAATAAACGGTTGAGCTTGCCCGACCCTTCAACGGCGTGTCTGCGGGACGCGAGGGCAGACGTCCCATGGGGGTGTGGAATTGGTAGTCGGAAAAACAGTCTGCAGACTGCTGGGCTCTTAGATCTTAGAAGCGGCGAGGACGACCTGCAGGCGCGGAGTAAAATGCTGTTTAGATTTAGAACCGAGCTGCGGACAGGACAAATCAATGGACTATGTTTAGGTCAGCCGAAAACAGCCACCAACCGTCAACGTTTTTACAAGGCTTCTCCTTGTGTCTCGCCGTCGTCTTTCCTTTTCTCTCCTAACGTTTTCCCTCAGTCCACCCTACCTTCCAGTCCTTTACCTTCTGTACTTCCATCAAAATAATGCGGACCACCGTCTGCGCCACTGCTGTGGCCCTCGCTGCTGCCCTCCTATCGGGCGTGTCTGCTATTTCCAAGGTCACCAGGGCCGGGAGATATCTCTACACCGCTGATGGAAACAGGTTTTACATCAAGGGTGTTGCTTATCAGGAGCAAGGTACGACATCCTCCACTCTCTTCCCTCTCCAGGCGTTCCTGACCCCTGATTAGGTGCTGTCGTCGCCAGTGCCAGCAACCCTTTCCTCGAGCCTAACAGCTTCATCGACCCGCTGGCTGATGGCACATCCTGTGCTCGTGATTTGCCCTACCTTCAACAGCTCGGGGTCAACACCATTCGAGTATACAGTGTTAACTCTTCATTGAATCATGACTCGTGCATGCAAGCCCTCAGTGGTGCTGGTATCTATACCATGTTCGTTCTCCTAGTTCCCCTATTTTCACCATCGTTGACTCTAATACTTTTCGCAGTATTGATCTTTCTCTTCCTCTCAATGGCTCCATGGACCGTAATGCCCCCTCTTGGTCGACAAACCTGTTGGATCTCTACCTTGGCACCATAAACGCATTCTCAAAATATGACAACGTCCTCGCGTACAACGTTGGTAACGAAGTCGTTATTGCTGCCAATGGAACCGCTGCTGCGTCGTATATCAAAGCCGCAGCTAGGGACGTTAAAACCTACTTGTTCGTTTGTCTCCACTCCGCCCTGCGCATTAATTCACATATATGGTGTAGGACTTCGATCTCTTCGTCTGCATTGGTAGGCTATGCCGCCATTGATGCCGATTCCAGCTGGAGGCAACCTCTTGCCAATTTCCTTTCGTGCGACATTTCGGGTGCTAATTCGGGTGCCACTGCTATCGATCTTTATGGTCTCAACAACTAGTAAGCCTCCCCCTCTCTCACTGGGTGGGGTTGCACTCAATGTCATTTTTGACAGTGAATGGTGTGGTGCATCTACATTCCAAGCATCCTACTCTGGCGTGGAATCCGACTTCGCTAGCTACAACATTCCTGCCTACTTCAGCGAGTTTGGCTGCATCACCTCCCCACCTCGTCTCTTTACAGAGGTTGGCGCGCTCCTGAGCAGCCAGATGTCGCCTGTGTGGTCTGGTGGAATCGCTTTCTCCTACTTCCCCGCCACCAGTGCCCAGGGGCAGTTCGGAATGGTTACAATTTCCACGGATGGGAAGACCGTCACGACCAGCAGTGACTTCACCAACTTGCAGACTCAGTACGGCAATGCTACCCCACCGAATACCCCAACCCAATCAGGCGCCGGTTCCACCGTCTACCCGGTGTGCCCTGTGCAAAGTGCCGATCTCCTTGCATCCACCACTCTTCCCCCAACTCCAAACGACGCCGCGTGTTCGTGTCTCGAGAGCAGCCTCAGCTGTCAGTTCACCCCCCAAACCACAAACACCACCGCCATTGTTGGGACTCTTCTTGACACAGCGTGCTCACTCCTCGGCCAATCCGGTGGCAACTGCAATGCCATCGCCGGAAATGGAACATCTGGTGTCTATGGCCCTGTTTCGATGTGTGACCCTAGTAAGCCTCGTTTGAATTCCAGACCACTTCGCCAATCTCACACATTTATCATCTAGACACCAAGCTTTCATTTGTAATGAGCGAGTACTACGAGGCCAACAACCGCAATGCACAGGCTTGCAGCTTTGCAGGAAACGGTACGGTGAACTCTCATGCTCCCTCGACCGTCTCGGCCGCCAATTCGGCTGCAAGCTCTTGCTTGACCAACCCCTCGGCCACCTTCACACCCAGCGCTCCTGCGACAACTGGTGGATCGGGCTCGGGCGGCTCGTCCAGCGGCACCCATAGCAGTGGGGCCGTTCCTATCTTCAATGACGCAAGGAGCCTTATCGGTTTGACTGTGGCTGTCGTATTCAGCGTTGTTGGTGGTATTTTGACGGTTGCCTGAGAGGTTTCCGAGCTTCGTTCATGCGGACCACAGAAGATTTGGACTTTGATTGTAGTTACTTCAATAACAGACTTTTATCGTTGACTATTGATTCGGCGTAATTCAGGAGGGCTTCTTGTGATATACAGTATTCTTCCATACCATACCTACGCTGTACTTCCCACCCAAATCACTCGCTTTTAACGGTCTTAACTTACAACGCAAAGCATTTCTCGAGCCTCGAGGCGCTCGGGCCATCGGAGTTCCAATTCCGAAGATTTTCGTAACCCCTGTTTAGCTGTGGCGCTCGTCTCACATCTTCAACTTTGACTTCCATGGCCGCTTCTCCCATGGCAGAGGACGCTGGCAATCCGCATCCCGAGGACAAGTGGGGTCCTTCGGAGCACGATTCTATGGGCCCTTCAGGGGAGGCATCCAATGGTGGCCCGCCACCCTCAGATGACCCTTCCGCCCAAGATTCTGCGCATCCTGACTACCCTCGTGGCGTCAGCGAAATGGACGGTAGTGCTACTGGAGGAAAAACTGCTTCTGAACGTGAACGTCGCGACAAGCAAGTAAAGGTGCTTAGGTCTCTTCTTGTCTCTTGCTCGCTAGGCGCATCTCCGGCATAGCTTTTGGATCCATGCTGCTTCCAATAACTTCCCTTCCGCAACTGCCGCGAGCTTGTTTCTGGAAACTTGTCCTGATGCTCATTTGATCTTGTTTTCTTGTGCTCGCCTGCCTTGTCATGTGGTCTTCTGCAGCCGAACAAAGTCTACATCGGAGGCCTCCCTGAACATACGCGTCGTGAAGACTTGCAAAGTTGCTTCGGCAAGATAGGAACCATTGTCAACATTGAACTAAAGTCGGTCTTTTCTTACAACCAGTCAACTGTTCATTGAGCTCATAGGTCTTGACGTTATCTCGTAGACTTGGCTACGGTTTTGTCGTAGGGGTGTTTCTTTCGTTTGGCTGCCTGTCGCTTAAATTTGTTGCCATTGTTGCTTCTTAGGAATTTGAGAGCAAGGAGGCTGCCGAGGAAAGCGTTGCAAAATATCATGAAGGTTATTTCATGGGAAACAAAATCCGGGTCGAACTGTCCCACGGGGGAGGCAGAACTGCTAAGTATGCGGGCGAACCTGGTGCATGCTTCAAGTGCGGCCAGATGGGTCATTGGGCGAGGTATGCTTGAATCGACTCGTCCTTGTCTCCATCACTTATCCCACACCAGGGAATGCCCAAACCATGGTGCCTCTAGGTTCGTCCTCGGTCTATCTTCTGATTGAAACGCTCCTCCTAACCTGGGTACAGTGGTGGTGGTGGACGTCGTGATGCCCCTCTCATCGACAGGATTCAGCCTTCCCGCGACTTCCCCCCTCCCCCTCCCAGAGAATATGGGTCCTACAGGGAAGACTATGGTCGCTTTCCTCCTCGTGATCCCCGATACTACGATTACCCTCCCATCCCTCCCCCTGGACGGGACTATCGTAGGCCACCCTCCCCTCCTAGAGATTTTCGAGAATACCCTGTGGGACCGCCGCCGCCCATGCGGTCCGCTCGTGATTACGATGATTATCGAATGAGAGGTGGACCACCTCCCCCTCCGCCACCTCCTCGGTACGAATCCCGCCCTGGTTACTATCCTCCTGACGATCTTCCTCCACCGCCGGGTTATCCCCCTCGTGGCTACGCTCCACCCCCGCCTCCTCGAGATTTCTATGACCGATACGACAGAAAGCCCCTCCCTCCCCCCGATCGGTATGGGGCGTATCCACCACCCCCAGGTGGCGGTCGTCCGCGGTCCCCTCCCCCTGGTGTGCCTCCTCCGCGCGGGCGTGATGAGTTCGACAGGCCTCCTCGGTACGTCCGTTCCGTTGGATTTTGCTGTGTGACTGCCCACTGATTCCGGGTCATAGTGACTACCTGCCACCTCCGCCTGAGTTCCGAGGTCGCCCCCCAAGTCCTCCATCCTCGAGATATCCGGACTATCCGCCGCCGAGGGCTCCAAGCACGGATGCTCCCACTCAGCGATATCGGTATGTTGTTGGTTTTTTCTTCCTACACCTTATTCA